TGTGTATGTCTGTGCGTACCATATAATTTTGTGTTGTTCAATATATACATATACCAGTAGAGTTGTGTCCTGAACTAGTTTTACACAATATATCGCGCAAGGCAGCGAAGCAGCAAAGCAGCAAGCGGTGCAACTCCTTCGATAACAGGCACATCTATATTTCACAGATCACGGCACAATCGCACAAACCTACTGGCAGATATCACCCTAACACATCACACTCAGCAGTATGTAGTTCCAATACGCATATGGTGAACACTACATTGAGGGCAGCGTGGGCACCTTACCTGGGCAGCGCAAACTCCCGAATGGGGACAAACAAGGCGATAATCAACGGAAACAGCAGTCCAGCGTTGAATATGGTATCACCTAGGTAGAAGTTAGCCTGTTGCAGGGTTCGAGAAGATGGTAATAAGTGTCGTCGGTGAACAATATCCGGTTTGAGTTGCGCAAGAGTGGGCCGACTGATGATGACGCTTGTAGTATTTCGAATATATGCTGTACTGGGATGTACATCTGTGTGGGTACATGTATACTACGGGAACGTCAGACGAACAACAAACACGTGTATGTCAAACACATGGAAACGTACCCAAGTGTCTGTATACTTTTAGGCATGTATAAGCTATGCGTGTGCATGGACAAGGGCATGTTGTGCACTTTGAAGTGCAGCTACAAGAGCGCGAGCACACACATTCGCCACACTACAATGCCTTTCGATGGAAGACTTCCTATGAATCCATACTTAGAGAAGGCTTATATATATATATATGTGTGTGTGTGTGTGTGTGTGTGTGTGTGTGTGTGTGTGATATAATATATAATATAAACTATAATATATATGTGTGTATATATCTATATATAGATATATATAAATCTGAAGCATACCTTCACAAACCAAAGAATGACGAGCAACACCACCTGCAGTAGTGTGTAGAGATGTATTTTCTTGATGGGCACCCGTCGTACGTAGTGATTGGGAGGGTACTTCTCTTCTTGTGTAAAGAGAAGAAGCACTCGCTCCCTGGAATATGGGAAAATGAACAAAAAGCAGAAAATTCACAGAATGAGGTAAGTATCTTGTCCTTCGCGTAAAGAAATGTGGCAGACACTCCTTAGTAGACTATAGGAAAGTGGACAATAAGCAGGACACTCTTCATTCTTAGCAGTGTTCAACCATTTATATGGTAATTCAAAAATCACCTGTATACTCAACTATGTATATATATATATATATATATACATAGGTATATATAGAGAGAAATATACATATACATATATCCATACATACATACATACATACATCCATCCATACACACATACATACATACATACATACATACATACATACATACATACATACATACATACATACATACATACATACATACATACATACATACATACATACATACATGCATACATACATACATGCATGCCTACATACATACATATATACAAACATATGTATATATATGTGTGTGTGTGTATGTTTATGTATCGATCTATCTATCTATCTATCTATCTATCTATCTATCTATTTATATATCAATCTATGAATGTATGTATGTATGTATATATGTATGTATGTATATATGTTTGTATGTATGCATACATGTATGTATGCATGTATGTATGTGTGTGTGTGTATGTATGTGTGTGTGTATGTATTTATGTATGTGTGTATGTATGTATGCATGTTGTGTGTGTGTGTGTGTTTGATCCTGCTACATACCACATCTGGTTGCCATCGAGTGAGGTAAGACCCAGGTACAGTAGGAATCCCCACAGCACGGAGACAGGGATCTTGTTCAAGATGTCCTTGGCCAGGATGGACAGCCCAATTAATATGTGTGTGACGAAGCCGGTGATGCGCGTTTCTCTCGACTTCACAACCCGTTCGTATCTGCCAGAATACATACAGCTGTATGAGTAGACGACTACATACGTAGTATTTATAGGTCGGTCTATATATCTACATACGTGAAGAGGAACTCACGAATGTCCGCGTACATCACGTGGCCGATGAGTATGAGCGTGACATACTATATGAGTCGTGTTTCTGATCAGCCTACGATACGTGTTTCTCTGTGAGAGTAGACGACTGCATTCGTGGGATTCATGCGCATGGTCATAGCATAATAGGAGGGCGCTTCTATGTGAGATCAAACAGCCAATAGGTATATATGGTTCAAAGCCGGTAGTACTGTTACTTTTACATCTACAACACATGCAGTGTGTGAACGCGAGCGGCTGATGAGACATTCCTACATGCATGTACTACAGTCAACAAATGATTGACAATTCTGTGC